TCTCCATCAAAGTCACCTGGGAGGCTGGTTAGAGCAAGGCTTCCTGGGCGCCAGCCCAGAGTGGAGTGAGGTGCAGGGACTTGCATCTCTCCGGGCTCGGGAGATGCTGTTGCTGACAGTCCCTGGACCACACTTGGTGCTACCCTGGCACCGGCCACGCTTCTCCAACTCTAACGTGCATGCAAATACCCCGGTGAGGCTGTCCAAATGCAGATTCTGACGTTCTTGTCCACAGACCCTCTCTAGGTAGCAAGGGTAAAGCATATTCCATCAGGGGGTAGGGAGAAAACTGGTACCTTTGTTCAAGCATTCGGGTGCTCATGCAGCATTGCAACAGGTAAAAGGTAAACACCTTAAGCATTACCACCCTTGCCCTTTTATTGGATGGAGACATTAAGGAAGCAATAAATTAAATGACGCCTCCACACCAATAATAAGTAGGGAACTGAGTGGCTGTCTCCTGCGTCTCAGGCGTGAGCAAACTGTAGACTCCTGTAGGCAGATAAGGCGTGAGAGGGCATCCACTTCAATTGACTGTTTCTATAGCTCCAGGTGCGAAGGCTAGGAGCTCTGACTCAGGAGAAACGCGGAATGCCTCTTATGAGATTTCCTCATTTTGAAGCATCAGGCTTTGCCGTGCACCATGTGGAAGCCATTTTTTAAAAAGTGGAATCTCAGATGGTGAGAGCATGATGTATATTCAATCCTGCCTTCAGATGGACAACATTTGTGGCTTGAGAACGATGACATTTTAATGTAAGCATTGCCCATAATCTTCAACCCAAGACCACAAATCTTACACCACGAGGAGAAAGCGTGCACACGCATGTCCTTGTACCAAGGAAGCTGCCATTAATTCTCTCCTTGTCACCCAGTCATCCATTTATTCACTAGTGAGCATCTTGGTAGCAGACACTGTTCCAGAGCTAGGAATTTAGGAGAGAACCACCTGCAACTAATATCTGAGCACAGAGGCCAGAGATGGCTGGTTCTGTGCTTTCACTTCTCTGTGAGACAATATAGGAAATAAGGGGTTTAGAGCACTGTGGCCCTAACTAAGATGAGAGCCCAGCCCCTCACCTGCTGTAGATTGACACTTTTATAAAATACAATAGAAATAATTTACTGGAAAAAAAGAAATGAAAAAAAAATGCACGGAAGGATATACAAAACACAAGTCCCAATTGTTACTATTAGAGCCGACGGACAGTGATAACTGCTTTAAGGGGTGGGGCTCTAAAGGCTTATTTCAGCTCTGTGATCTCCGGGCAGATGAGGAGCAAACAGCTGGCCAACAAGCTTGCTCCTCAGCTCGGCTCTGGGCAGAACTCATTCAGAGCGTGGCCTCCAGGGTTAGGCGCCTGGGTTTGCATTACAGTGCTGGCACTTGCACGCTATGTGACCGAGGGCAAGCCACTGAATTCCACTGTTTCTCAGTTTCCTCCCCACAAAGCTGCTGCCCATATACAGAAAACACAAGTCAAAACATAAAGCACTCAGGAGAGGGTCTGGCTCTCAGTAAATTCTATTAAAGTGTTAGCTGTGATCATTACTACTGTCTACAACTATTACTATTATTACTACTTCTCTTACTACTACTGGTACTGTGCTCTGTATTATTTTGGGCCAAGACTTGAACAGTTGTTTCACCTATAAGGTGGTGCTTGTAATCTCTTTCCTTCTATTGCTTCCTTCCCTTCTATGAATTTGGTGCCAAGAAAGTGAAATCACCATGTGAAGGCACACGACTGCCCGTGGAAACTGCTCCTGTAATGGACTCTCTGTGCTACCCAGATGCCATTCCAGAGGGGAGGGCAGTGCCCGGGGTCCCTGCACCTGCACCTCATCACAGGTGACAGCAGCCCTGGGAAACTGACCTCCATGCACGCTGAGACCCAGTTGGGCTGGTGCTGCCTGATGCTGAGCAACCAAACCACAGTCTAACAGACGGAGCGACTTTGAAGGACATTTTAAAACTTCATGTAATTGAATGCTTCACCCACCTGCATTTTTCACACATGCACAGATTTCCCCAAATTCCCTTCTTGACAGCTGTTTTGGAAACTCAGCTTAAAATTTTCAGAATTATTTCTTACTTTTTCTTCAGATTTGTCACCTACAATTGGCTGGGGATCACAATATCCAGGTGACAGACAAGCATTTGAGAAATATTGAAACTTGAGCTTGGGAAATTTTGTTAGAAAACAATTTACGGTCATTTTAAAGCAAGACAAAAGCTCAAGATCCGAAAGAATAACCATCACTCCATTTCCTTCCTAAATCTCCTAAGTCTGAGACTATGAAACAAATTTATTAATATGGCCTAATCATTTTGCATCCTCATAAAATAAAAATTTTATGAAGAAAGAGAGGGCAACAAAACCACCAAATAAGAAACAACCAAATAAGAAAGCGAGTTTTTGGGCTGTAAAAACAAATTTGGAGATTACTAATGTGAATGGCCTAGTTTCAAGACTCAGTCACTCACACGAAATTACCACACTGTGACCAGGTCAAAGAGAGAATAGGTCAAATTGGAGTTCTTATCTGGCCTCAGAATGAATGGAGTTACTGATTTAAGGAACGAGAGGGAAAACCACACAACATTCAAATGGCATAGTGACATGTGCAAAGGGCTGGTGATGAGGTTGGGAGGGATTTGACAAGCATATGGGGAGACTGCCCAGAGATGTAATTCAGTGTGCGGCCCTGACATGGCCCAGATAGCAGTCAACTAGTTATGAGTTTGAATGTGTCTTTGCCACTCGAGCTGAAAACGGTACTGTTTAATAAGCCAGCATCTTTAGTTCACAGACTCACTCTAGGGACCTTGCTGTAAATGTCATTTAAATTCAGTACACCAAGCACATGGAAGGTGCTCTGTACAGCGGAGAGCGTGGCACTGGAGGGGCACAGGTGCTGAGAGGTGTCCTGACAGAGAGGAAGTTAATGTCAAACAACAACAAAAAATATTAACAAGTCTGTGTCAGTCTCTATTTCTTATCTTTTCCCCCAACTCTGCAATTATTCATGAATTTCAAAACTTATTCTCTGTGTCTATCCACCTCCCACCCTCCATCTATCCATGCTTGTATACATTCATCCAGTAAATTATTTATTGAGTGCCTTCCTGCCGCCTGGTACTGTATTAGGCTTTTAGAACTTACATTGTAGTTGGAAAAGACAAAAAATAAACAAGTTAGAAAATAAATGAAATAATAATTACAGTTGTGTTAAGAAGGAAAAAACAAAGTCAAAGTGTTAAAATAGTGACTAGCTGGGGAAATCTATTGGGGATCCTGACAAAAAAGAGAATTCCATTCAGATGATTCAAATGAAGAAATATTAAAAAGATACTCCCAGGGGTGTGGGCAGCACTGACAGAAGCAACAAGAGCTGTCCTGGTACCAGAAACCAGCAATGGCAGAGAGCAGCGATCAAGGTCAAGGAGAAGAAAGGCTGTAGTCAGAGTCCACTGAGAGCTGCAGCTCTGGAGGAAGGGTCACTGGGCAGGACTGTTGCTGAGGGATGTGCCCACAGCCAGCACCATGATGCAGCGTGGGGAGGAAGGAGATGAGAAATAACCCAACCTCCTCCTCCCACCCTCCTACCTGCTGCTAGTGCTTCCTATTGGTACAACCTGATCCCGAGCCCCCTGGCAAGGGAGCTTTGATGATATCGTCCACAGAGTTTGACTTTAGTGTTGAGAATGGATTGGGGACATGAATGGAGGAGGGGAGAATGGAGAATAACCAGAGAAGGGGGCCTACTTAGGTGGGACAGTCAGGAAAAGCTTCTTCGTGGAGGTGACATTTGAACTGAGACTCAAGGAGGAGAAGGTCCCAGCCCTGCACAGAGCCAGTGGAAGAGCCATCCAGCCTCTGTGATTCTCCCTTCTCTAGGCCAGGCTCAGCACACATCCCTCACCGGGAACCATGTCACACAGACCCCGACAATCTGAATGAACCCACTCCTCGGTGTGATGCTATAATTCAAGTTCTGGGAGAAGCAAATGTTGCTACTCGATTTTCTCAACACCATGGAAGCGTCTGCTCATAAACGAGAATGCTCCTATCTGGGACACTACCGATGAAAGGCTCAGTGTTGCTACCAATTCTAATGTGCACAGAAGGAAAAATCAAGAAAGCTATACACAAAGGTGGGTAAGGGCGGCCATTAAAGCAACTGTAGCTTCCTTCCACTGGTACAACTTCTCTTTGAAGAGCGAAAGCATTCCACATTTGGAGATATCCTCATATCATGCAACTTGGGTAAAAAATGAAGAAACATTTTTCTCTCTTAAGTGAAAAAACGCCAGGAAGATTCCATTTCAATTACAACTGTAATAGCAATCAATGTACAGCCATAATTTAAACTCATACTATTTTCTTTTAGTTTTATATTTGTCTTTATGTCCCCGGATAAAATGGATACAAAATAAATACCTCAAGCCTATGAATCCACATATCTACTGAGAAATTATTTTATATCTGCTGCCCAGAAACCATTTCTTTATATAGTTAAAGTAAAAGGTTCAATATTAACAAGACCATCACTTAAACCAAAATGGTATGACTTTGAAAAGCCAGTTGGCTGGTAGGTTCAAGTTCACTGTGAGCTGGCCAAGTCCTTAACATAAGCACCTGCCCTCCACTGGATGGGTACGGGGGTTTCGGTGGCATCTGTTAGGCAGGGTGATTTCCTTCCTGTAAGTCCCAGCAAGGGCAAATTCCAGGCAAATAAGGAGGCCTTGCCTGCATGTTAATGAGATGTGCGTTCTACCATATTCAAAGCTATCCACATTTTTCTTAAAGATCCTAAGGAATTTCCATTATCTCTATATTAGTCCTAAATGTCCTTAGTACCTATTTAATTTCCTCTTGTTTTGTCCCCAGTGAATATAAAAACAGATGGCAATTCTTCTTCTGTTTTTTCATTTGAGACTCTTGCGAAGGCCATGAGAACTGTGGACAAACAGTAAGTTCAAAGCATATCCTTACCTGCAGCAGAGGGCGCTGCACGCCCAGCACCTTCATGGTGTCCGCGTTGGCCAGGATCTTCAGGGGGTCCGAGGTTTTCGTGACTCCTTCAATCTCCTTGTTGATCTCAGCCAAGACTTGGTTGAGAAAGATGTTTTTGATGTACACAGTGAGGAACTCTCGGAGAGGACACTGTTTGGCTGGCCCAAGTCCCAAGGCATGCTCAACTTCCTGAATGAACCTGGAAGCCAAACAGGAATGGTTGTTACATGTATCAGAAAAATGGCTACAGAAACATGACAAAGCCCACATGGGTATCTTTGGACTTCAGCTATTTTCATGGAGGGAAGCAGGGAAGTCCCCAGAATTCTTAAAAAGAACAGCTCATCACTCTATAATAGTCATATCCATATATATCCATATACATATATATGGATATATATGTATATGTGTGTATATATATGTATGTGGACATATATATATGTATATATGTTTTAATATATAAATATATGTCATCTTTCTCTATATAACTATCCATCTTTTAAAATGTTATTTCACTAATTAAATAGAAATAGGATGAAATAGACAATTACTTCTTACCTGGGGTAAAGAAAAAGAGATGCACAGAATATTTTTATTAATTCAAGAAGTAAATAAGAATACAAGAAGCAAAGCACAATCAAAGAAAAACAATTATGTGCAAATTTAAAAGCACACCCCAAACACTACATATTTCTCATTGAGATTCTTATATGTGTAAATAGAAATGTGTGTGTGTGTGTGTGTGTGTGTGTGTGTGTGTGTGTGAGAGAGAGAGAGAGAGAGAGTGAGAGAGAGAGAGAGAGAGAGAAAGGGAGAGAGGTGATGATACATAAGTTGGGAGATTACAAAGTGAACAGGATAGGAGGTGGGGGCAAAGAAGGACTTCAGCCTTATTTGTAATGATCTATTTCCTTTACTAAAGTACTTAAAGCAGATATAAAGGATTGTTAATAACTGCCAAAGCTCGGAGATGAGTGTGCAGTTGTTTGTCATATTACTCTTTGTGCTTTTCCATACTGGCAGTTCTTGCCTTGCATGTTTCTGATATATACAAACTTAAGTTACTACAGTTTAGTTAATGCCTGTCCTCCAAAACCAAGATTCAAATTCCAGTTAACAGTGTTTTAACTCTGAGTAATGGCATAAAGTATAAACTCTGAGGCTAGCTCTTCAGTTCAGATACCTCTACCAGAATAATTGATGTTCACCATGATCAATGATCAATCATCTCAAAATGTAACAGTGACTGATCATTGCACATCTGTTACTCAGTTCAGGTACAGACAGCAAAGTCTCTCAGTGATATGCCCATGTGATATTTTACAAAGGATAATTAAAAGGGAGTTGGTCAAAAATGGTAAAAGTACAGAAAAAAACTAAAAGTGGTAACAGTGGGAGTGAAGTTTGAATTCAATGTAAATGGATTTATAGAAGCAATAATTGACCATAGGAATGTTAACATTAACCCCATTCGAGAGGCAAATGCAGTCAGAGTGAAGGTGAACTTGATCTAAATAAATGAGGAAAGTGGTTATGACGAAAGGGATGAAGATGGCCCAGAGGAGGTATGCCAGCCAAAAATCTCACATTATTAGAACTCTTTGAGATATTTCATGACACTGAAAATCAAAGGATAAAATACTGGCAGTTGACCCGAACTTTGAAGGAGGTGTGACAGTTCACCAATGCAGAGGAAAGATGCTCACTGTGTATCGTAAAGTATACAACACAAAGAAGGTGCAAGCATTTTTCAACTACTCTGGACAAGATTTTAACAAAGAAATTAAATGTTTCTAATGCCAAGCGGACTAAATAGTTAGTTTTCTAATTTTTTCATATCTGTATACATTTATAACAGTAAGGGAGTTTTTAATGTGTGTTGTTAAAATTTGTAAACTCATGAAATCACTGTGACTTCCCCACCGATTAAGACTCTCTGCAGGTAATGTTTACAGTTCCACAATGCTATGCAAAGCAGGTTACCAATTTTCTCAAAAAAAAAAAAAAGGAAAAGGAAAAGTGAAATTAAATCAGATGGAATAAAGACAACAAAATGAATGACTAACTGGGAAGATGTATTTGCAACCTATATTACAGATGACAGGTAGGGGAAAACAAACAAATTTGTAGAAAAATGACCAAGGGCACAAAAAGACAGTTTACAGTGAAAGGAAGGCAGTGGTCAGTAAACATAAGAAAATATTCTTAACTTCATTCACAATGAGAAGAAAGGAAAGTAAACTATACTGAGATGCCATTTTAGCATCTATGCATTGGCCAAATTCCAAAAGTCTGAAAACACATTCTGTCGGCCAAAGTGTGGGAAAGAATCATTCTCCAATAATGTTGATGGGAGTGAAAAAGTACAACTTATGAAAAGCAAGTTGTCACGATCATTCAACATTACAAATGCACTTCTCTTTGACCCAGTAATCTAACTTTTGAAAAAATTTTCAGACAGCCATAGCTGAACATGATTAGATAGGCCAGTGTGGCATTATTCTAATGGCAAAAGACTGAACACAACAAAAAAAATCCATCAGTCAGGGATTCATCAAATCCACCGATATATCTGTACACTGGAATTCCATGCAGCAACCTCAACCCTCCAAACGTGGAAGCTGTGGGGCACTAACATGTAAAGGCCTCCAGGATATATTAAGTGAGAAAACGAGCAAATTGCAAAGCAATTTGTGTTCAGTAGTATTTATATTACACTGACTTTTGTGAAAGAACTATATATCCTCATTTGTTTATTTTCTTATAAAGACACCCTGGGAAGACTCATAACAAAACTAAAACTGCCCAGCCAGTGTGGCTCAGTGGTTGAGTGTCAACCTATGAACCAGGAGGTTGCGGGCTAGATTTCTGGTCAGGGCACATGCCTGGGTCACAGGCTCAGTCCTCAATCGGGGATGTTCAGAAGGTAGCCGATCGATGGTTCTCTCTCTCATCGATGTGTCTCTTTCTCTCTCCCTCGCCCCCTCTCTCTGAAATCAATAAAAATATATTTTAATATTTAGTTTAAAGACTAAAACTGAGTACCTGTAGGAAGCAGAAATAGGGGTGGGGTCTGGAAGAGGAGTGGGAATAAGACGTTTCAGTTATAACTTATTTGAATCATGTGATTTTAAAAATCATGAATGTATTAACTACTCAAATAAACTGAAATTAGAAAATGAAAACCACCTACACATGTCAGAGACTATATTTCATAAACTGCTTTCTAATTAGATCACATTTAAAGTTTAGTGTATACATGTTCCTTCAGGTTAGCTGTTTAGCCTCTGAAGTGTTTCCTTCACTTAATAAAGAAATAAGTCGTGGTTAATTGTGCATATCAGCAGTTACACACTCCATTAACCCCCGGGTGTGCATGTGTGGTGGGGGAAGGAGCGAGCACACATAGGACTATCATGAGGAAAAAGCAACCCAAAGAATTTGGGGGAAAGGCAGAAATTGAGAAGTGATGAGAAACAGCCACGGGCTTCTTAATTGATGTCACCTACATGGAGAGGGAAATAAAAATATGACGCAGACAAAGTATCACGAGTCTTTAAGAAGAGCGAGTGGAAGAATATAGGGGACAATGAATACATGGGAGTAGTTAGCCATCCATGGCCATCATTTTCAGATCTCTGATTTCCACACCCTGCTCTGTGGGCCCCTTCTCATCTCATCTCATCTAACGCTCAAATCACCCACCAGGAGCCTCTGGGGCTCCTTGGTGGGCCTGTGAAAGAAAACCTCTGCTATTAATCTGCTGATGTGTAAATATAGCAAAGGTCTTATTTTATTATTTTTAATATTATGAGAATCAATCATCAGAATCCCAATTTATTCTTCTCAATGGGACTTCGATTTCTGAGTATTTCTTACATTTTCAATATCTTTAACATTAGAACACAATTTTTAGTGGTTAATCTGTTCCTAACAGTGACAGAAGGCTCTAAATTATCCCCCTGTTTGTGTTTTCTGGTCCCTTATTTGCCTTCGTGTCCCTAAAATATCAAACCGCTCTGAGCACACTGATGGAGGAGTTCCTGTCACTTGCCACTGAGTGATTTCTCTCAAATACAAATCACTTATTCCCTAAAGCACACACATCCGTCTAAAACAACACATCCAGGCTGATGCTGTCATCTCTGACTGGAGGGGACCCATCCAGCATGTTCCCAAATCTGCTTTCAGAGCTGCGAGGGCCCTCCCTGTGCAGAAAGTGTGAAATATTCGTAAGAGAATGAAAGAAAAAAATTAGAGCTGTCTTATCAGACCGCTTTTGTACTCTAGTCGAAAATGGGTAGCGATTGCATTAAATAGGCAAACTGCTCTTTCTGGGGGCAGGAAGGACACTGAACCAGCACCTTCTCAGGCATCTGGGAGGTGAGCCAGACTCTTGGTCACTATGGGGAGGAGTGATCTAAGGAGGCTGAGCGGCCAAGAGCAGGCCTGAGGGCAGCGGTACCCGAGTCTGAATCCTGAACGTACAGGGTTGGGCGGATTATTCAGCGTCGCCAAATCTTCGCTTTGTATTCTGTAAAATGGGTATGATAACACAGGATTGTTCTGATAATTAAACAAAGAGATGAAAGTTAAGCACTCAGCACAGAGGCTGACAGCAACTGCTAAGGAAATGGTAACTAATGCTATTTGTATAGGTGACCGATGTCCCATGTGGCCAGGGGCCAAATTGCTCATCCTCAGTGAGTAGGACTGGCTAGCACACAGTAGGCTCTCAGGATGTATTTGGCGAAGAAAATGCTGAACAACGTAATTTACAGACCCTTTAACTTCAACCCATAGTTCCTGAAACGGGCATGTCCTTGCTGACAAATAATATCCTCTTCTCAAGAATTTGGCCTAGAGAGCCAAATAAAAAAAATTGTTTTTGAAAAAAAAACACCCCATACCTCCACCACCCCAACGTTAATAGTTGCCTCTCACTAAAAGAGCATTCTCTAGTCCCTGGCCACATTCCACACTGCTTTTTACTTTGCATAATTCAGTTGTTTCACATTACTTTATACTCTGCTCTTTTGCAGAGTATCAGAGACTCATTCATCCCCTCCTGCTAATGGACACACATTATTAAACCAAACATTGATTAGGAAGCAGCCATGCTGCCGCCTGGTTTATTATAGATAATCCCACAGTGAACACCTTCATTTCGTTTCTGTTGAACTCTGTCCCCAAGTTATT